TGTCAGGAATGGTGGGAGTTGCAGTCCAAAACACCTGGAAGGAGGGATGAAGTTGGCCCATGCTTTTGTCCTCTTGGAACTTAATCAAGGGATCATCTGCATACCCACGTTATGGGAGTCTTAAGTCCAAAACAAAGTTGTCCCAGGCTTGGTTTAAGCCATGCTTTGTAGCCTTAAGGGCTATTTTCTCCCCCAAAATGAAGTTCAAGCAACATTTTTGGGCTGTGACTCAGCACTTGGCTTCCACGGCCTATAAATTCCAGACAGATGCCCTGGCCGAGATGTTGAGAAATACTCCTTTTTTTCCCTGGCATTGGTGAAGCTCAGACTTATTTTCCCCCCCTTCTTTTGTGTGAGAATTCTTTCATGAGATGTCCAGGCCATTTTTTGCGGCTTGTTTACTTTTTTTCCTGCCTTCCGATGGCAACCAAACAGCATCCGAAACAAAAAGCCTCAGAAAAACAATGCCAACAAGCCAGACTTTGAAGCTGCAAAGCCATTCAGTGCTAATCAAGGTGGCCAATTGCAACATTCACCTTTGCTTCTAACAGGCAAGAGTTCTTTCTCCCACCCTGGGCATCATTCCACAGATATATAAACCCCTGCCTGGGGGATCCTTTGTTGGGAGGGGTTAGCTGGCCCTGATTGTTTCAGGGCCATTCAATGCTTCCAACAGACAAGAGTTCTTTCTCCCACCCTGGACATCATCCCACAGATATATAAACCCCTAGCTGCTCCCTGCCTGGGGGGATCCTTTGTTGGGAGGTGTTAGCTGGCCCTGATTGTTTCAGGGCCATTCAATGCTTCCAACAGACAAGAGTTCTTTCTCCCACCTTGGACATAATTCCACAGATATATAAACCCCTGGCTGCTTCCTGCCTGGGGGGAGCCTTTCTTGGGAAGTGTTAGCTGGCCCTGATTGTTTCAGGCTTGGAATTCCCCTGTTTTCTGAGTGTCCTAATTTTAGAGTTTTTTTTAATACTGGCAGCCAGATTTTTAATATTGGTATCCAGACAGGAATCAATCAGGGCCAGCTAACACTTCCCAACAAAGGATCCAACCAGGCAGCAATCAGCCAGGCTTTGAAACTGCAAGGCCATTCAATGCTAATCAAGGTGGTCAATTACAACATTCACACTGCCTCCGACAGACAAGAGTTCTTTCTCCCACCCTGGGAGAAAGACATCATCCCACAGATATATAAACCCAATTTTCAACAGACCTTACAACCTCTGAGGATGCCTGCCATAAATGTGGGCGAAACATCAGGAGCGAATGCTGCTGGGACATTTCACAGATATGTGAACCTCACTTTCCTAGTTTCCAACAGATCTCACAACCTCTAGGGATGCCTGCCATAGATGTGGGTGAAACATCAGGAGCGAATGCTGCTGGGACATTCCACAGCTATGTAAGCCTCACTTTCCCAGTTTCCAACAGATCTCACAATCTCTGGGGATGCCTGCCATAGATGTGGGTGAAACGTCAGGAGCGAATGCTGCTGGGACATTCCACAGATATGTAAGCCTCACTTGCCTAGTTTCCAACAGACTTCACAACCTCTGGGGATGCCTGCCATAGATGTGGGGGAAATGTCAGGAGCGAATGCTGCTGGGACATTCCACAGCTATGTAAGCCTCACTTTCCCAGTTTCCAACAGACTTTACAACCTCTGGGGATGCCTGCCATAGATGTGGGGGAAACGTCAGGAGCGAATGCTGCTGGGACATTCCACAGATATGTAAGCCTCACTTTCCCAGTTTCCAACAGACCTCACAACCTCTGGGGATGCCTGCCATAGATGTGGGCGAAATGTCAGGAGAGAATGCTTCTGGAACATAGCCATACAGCCTGGAAAACTCACAGCAACGCAATGCCAATAAGCCCCATACTTTTAAAAATGCAGCCACAATATGTTTATGTTGTCCCAATATATAGTGAGCCCGCCACGTTGTAGGATCCCATGAAATGGAGAAAACTACTAATTCCATGCAAACTACTAGAACTATAGAAGCAACACAAAGCCACACAGCAAGAAACACGGATGGATCCCAAACATCTCCCATGGAATGTTCCTCCTGCTCATGTCCTCTTAGCCATGTAACATGGGAAAGTGCGTGTAAACAAGAGGAAAGTGGAGCACACGATAATCAATCAGGCCCAGCATCACATGGGTTCTGATGTGACCTGAAGCATTCATTCTCCAGTGTAGATGCTCCTCCAGAGTGCCTTTCTCACCGATTTTAAGACAAATTGTATATTCATAACAACAACAACAACAACAATAACAACAACAGGAGCTGAATACGAAACTGCTCCATCCTGACCTTGAGAGAAAAAATGAAAAAAAAACCCCTGAAAATGCCAAATTTCAAATTATTATTATTATGTTTATGTTTGGGTTGCTGTGAGTTTTCCAGGCTGCCTAGCCATGCTCTAGAAGCATTCTCTCCTGACAGTTTGCCCACATCTATGGCAGGCATCCTCTGTCAGAATTAATTCAGTTATGTATGTGTTTTTCAATGTGCTTCTATGTATTGCAAAGATGGATGCCACTGTGAATTGAAAATGCCA